GGGGGGGGGGGATGGGTTAGCCCGGTGATGGGTATTAAAGAGAGAGCACGTTCTGCGTGGAGCAGTGGGTGTTATGCACAAACAATGAATCATGGAACACTACATCAAAAACTAATGATGTAAAAAAAAAACCTAATGATGTAATGTATGGTGATTAACATAACAATAAAAATAAATTAAAAAATTTCTATACCATATCACTGGGGTTAAGTGACCTTCTTAACAAAAGGGGCTGGGATGGCAGAATGACCTTTTTCTCGGAGATGGGAGGGTTTTGAGCTGAGAATGAATAAGATCTGATTTATTTTTGAACAAGACCACTCTGGCTGCTACGGTGATAAGTCTCAGGGTGGGGTGGAGGGTGGATGCAGGGGGGCAGTTGGGAGGCGACCACAACCATCCAGTGCAAGACTGGAGGTGGGGAAGACATGGTTAGATTGTACAGGTGATTTGAAGGTAGACCCAAAAGATACGGAGAGGAAGGGCAGGGCCAAGGAGGCACCCAGGTTTTTGTCCTGTGCAACAGGGAAGGATGGCGTTGTCAGAAACAGAGAAGAGAAAGATTATAGGAGGAGCAGACTGAGGAAGATCAGCTCCATTTCAGCCATGTTAGGTCAGATGTTGAAATAGAAATGTCAAGCAGGTGGCTGGATCCAAGTCTGGAGTTGGAGGGAGGGGTCTGAGCTAGAGATCAAATTTTGGGCAGTCAACAGCACATAGATGGTATTTAAAGCTTGAGATGGGACAAGATGCTCTCGGAAGTGAGAACGACTAGGAGAGACCAGACCAGCCTGGGGCTGTCCAAAGTTCAGAGGTCAAAGAGTAGGAGGGATGGACCCAGGAGACCAAGACTTGCCCCACTCCCCTGGCAGCCCAGATGGTCCCAGGGAAAAACCTGAATATGGTGAAGTCTTTGCATATAACTACGGCCAGAGTTACCTGAGAACAGAGCCTTAAGGGGAAAGGATACACATTTCCCCACTTGATTTTAAGAGCAATTTGCTATTCGAGTCATTTGTGGACTCATTTTGAAAGATTCACCTCTTTGAAGGGATCAAATAGTAATCTATAAGCCTAATTTGGGGAGGACTGTAGGGTAGAGGGGCAGTAATTGAAAGGCTTAAAGACTACCTTGTAACTGGAAATAGGTTTCAAAAGCTACTTATAATAATCTGTTCAAAATGTAAAACAGGGAATAAATTCTGCACATGCATACCCACATATTCCTGGCATGTGACTCCTGCACAATTTTTTTTTCCCAATAAGAGAAAAAAATGGCAGCAGCCTTAGGATGGACTTTAAATACAAAGCTATCTGTGAAAACAGTGAATCCAAAAATGAAATAATACGCTTTTCTCATTCTGACTATGAACCGTGCCTGGGGCCCTGGCTATATGTCAATGCTGTGCTAGCGATGGAAGGCCCACCTTTCTGGAACACATCTCGTTCCTACAGAGCACGCCCCTCATATTCATAAGTCTGGTGCAAACAAAAGAGCAGCCACTAAAACACGGATTTAGTTGGGCATTATTGCCGAATACGATCAAAGACAAAATTCTCTGATCACTTTTGTCTGATCATCTGTAGTACTCGAGTTACAGAAATAGTACTTGTACAGAATGTATTCATGTGCAAAATGGATCATTTATTTAGCACCAAAATCAAATTATAAAAACACTGGTTCCATCTTGAAACATGCATTTTAAAAATTCTAAGTTTGCAGGGAGACACTTGCACAATCTGGATCCCCAAATCCCTTTATAATTTCTAATGACAAAGACAACTGTCACTCATTGTGGGAAGTCAATGCAGAGACAACGACCCTTCGAACAGGGTGGCCTGCAGGGAACGATGCTTCTTACTCAGCCCCAGGTTTCCGCCTTGATCTCCAGGGAAGAGCTCTGTGCTTGCTGAAACAGATCCTCAGTAAATGGTCAGGAATCCTACAGGTAATAATGCTGCTGAATTTACTGAAGAGGAAAAACATCGTCAAGGTCTCCTGCCTACTTATATTTGCCACGTGAAGCTTCTCAAATGGGGCCCTTCCTAACCAGCCACCCTAAAGTCCAGCTTTCAGTGTAAGAAGGGCTGGTTAACACCCTTTAATAACTACTTTGCAATTCCAAATGACTCCCTGGCAGCTTTTCTAGGGAAGGAAGGAACTGCTGTGCAGGTGGCTCTGAAGATCTCCAGACAAAAGCCAGGCTTGGGTTAACCACTTCCCATCCAGGCTGACTGCAGAAATCTGTGATGCCCAGACCCCAAAGCCCTGATGACAGACAAGGAAAGCAATGCTTTTCCTTTAGTAAAAGCCTTGCCATTCATCTGCCTTCTTTTTCTTCTTTATTCTTGGCAACTGTCTTTGGAAATTGGGGTAACTCCCCACAGGCAGGGGACACAAGTAAGGCCGGCATCCTGGGGGTGCTGTACTCTGAGCACCCACGAGGAAGATGGGGCAGTTAAACTCCAGAGAACATTTGTGAGCAGGCGGAGATGGCCCATTTGTACCTGTCCTTTGGAGCTAGTGAAACTGGACATTGGAGGCTGTCACACTCCCGGGCACAAGGGATCCCAGTTCCAACTGTACTTTGATGCATGTACTAACCATCCTTCTTTAAGAAGGACTTTGGTGTCTCCCCGGCTGGGGGTTCATGGGGTAAATAGGCCTGGGCTGTGGGTCAGCAGGGTGGGACAGTCTCATGTTTTTTATAGGCCAGGGACATCCTCCCGCACATCCTTCCCCAACCAGATGGTACCACTTCCAGGACTGCTGCGGGAAATAAGTCATGACATGGGACATGGTTCTGGTCCTAAACAAGGTCAATGAGGCTCCTATCAAGGACACACAGGGAGGTTCCCTCCAGTGGGAGCACTTCTGTGTTCTTCTGGCCTTCAGTCGTCCATGTCAGTGAGTTTTCTCTTCTTATAGTTCTGAACGAGGCTGGAGGCTGTGATCTGAGAAGCCTGCCCCTTCTCCCAACACTGGAAGTCGTTCAGTCCTTTCTGTCCTGTTTGAAACAAGCCCCTCTCCATCTCGTCCAGCCTGGCCACCAGTGCCGAAGTGTCTTCATTGTAAGCGTTCTGGGAGGAGTCCATGATGCGGCGAAAACGTCCAATGAATGTCTGAAGGAGAAGGGAGTGAGAGAATTCAGATCCGTTCTTACCCCAGAACCTTTTCGTTTTAAAGATTTTATTTCTAAGTAATCTCTACACCAAGTTCAAGTGGGGCTCGCTCGATCTCACAACCCTGAGATCAAGAGTTGCATGCTCCACTGACTCCACAGGCGCACCATCCCTGAACGTTTAGATGTCACAAAGGGAAAGACTTTGGTGTAGGACTCAGTCAGACGGAGGTCTGAGGCGCCTTTACCACTCGAGGAAGTTATTTCACGTCACCATGCCTTGATGTCCCCGTCTGTGAAATGGACTGTTAGGAAAATCCAAGGGGTTGTTAGGGAAACCAATGAAGGAACACATGTAGAGCACCTTGCAAACGGCTGGCAAGAGGAAGCTCCTAGAAAAGCATTACGCATTATTGTTATTAGCGACAAAGGCCATAATAATGTACTGTGACACGTGCAGGTTTCAACAGAGAAGACTCCTGATCTAATTGAACGCATTTTCTATTTTTTTCAGTCTGAGAGCAGGACAGAGACACATGTGATCTAGGGGTGTCATTCTATCCCAGGGCTCCGAGACCAAGCCACGAGCCCCGGCTTCAGTTTCTTCCACTGCCTTGTGGCAATGTCACCTTATGTATAAGCAACTTTATAGGACTTCAAAGCAGTGATGGGAAAAGAAAACATGGAACTCACTAGCAAAGGGCAGTGTTCCAGTTCAAGAACGTGTCCTGGAGACATTGTAAGACAAATGGGTCTTTCTCATTTTTAGCTTTCTGCTCACAAGAGTTTCCTAAGCTCCAATGGTCTATAGTCTGTGTATTGGCTTCTTTATCTGAATGGAGAGCAATGAAATTTTTCTTAACTATCCACATTAAAAACAGCACCGGTGCACGTTAGCCCAAATAAGCCTTGAGCCTGATGGAGGGCATGTGCACGGTCTGGGGAGAAAATGTGTCTTCAGCCACCAGTGCTTATAAAGCTAGAAATGAGGGAGTAAAACAGGTAGAAAAGGTGGTTTCTTAATAAAAAGTTAAAATAAGGTCATATCGTAAAGGATGGTACTATGTGTATAACACTGTCTTGTCCATGGACCATAACAGTAATAGATACCATTTATGAAACAGCACAACATAATCTCACTGCGGTGCAATAATTTTGGCACTATTATATCTCCACTTAACAGGTGAAAAATTGAGAAGCCTAGAGAGGTCAAGTAGCTTGACCAAATGACACTATGAGTACACAGCAGAGCCATGTCTTAACCCCAGAGCAAGGGAGGGGAACAAGCAACATGCGCATTCCTGATAGGAGCCCTCAGGCCAGTCCTGGGGCTGGGCTGGTGCATTTGCTGCCTGTCCCCTGTGATCAACTATCATCCCTTTCTTATTTCTAGGACTTCCTGTTGGTCCCAACTCTAAACAAGCAAATATGAAGAGCCGCAGACCAATCATTTTTAAGTATGTATATAATCAGCAAACCCAGTCTAATTGTCGGCTGATGTGGAAAAACGAATAAACTAACTGTATAAATGATACACTTCCCTGGGGAACAGTGAAGCCTGCTGGCTGCCACACGGGCTCCTGGCGCACATGCAGGGCCCTAGGTTTTCAGGTCAATCACTTGCCTGCAGGAGAGACTGGGAAATGTCTGCATTCTCTGGACTGTCGAAATGCAGGAGCTGGGAGCCAAACCCATAGAAATGGGGCCCCAGCTTGTGGAGGTCCACCACATTGGCATCGGCACTGAACACCGTCCTCCAACCTTGTTGGTAGATCTTGGGAAGTTCCACAGAAAGGATCCGTCGCTTGTTGTCAAAAAGTCCCTTTGCCAGCCACAAGGGGAGTTCAAGCTTTGAGCCCTGCGTCAGACAAGAATACCGATTTTAACAATAAATCACATAGTAAATGTGTGCGGCAGAAAGGAAATACACACGCCCTGGGCAAATATCAGTGGTGCCTATTCTCTCTGGGGGCAGGGCTATCACATGCAGAAGATCTGGTTGTGACCTGAAAAACTGAAGTTTTATGTCATGATGGAATGGTGAGAGAAATGGATTTATTCAACAAAAGCATAGTACAGAACAAAAATGTGGTATAAAGGGAAAGTTTTCTAACTCACATAAATAAAAACTTCCAATTGCAGACACTTCAGAAATAAAATAAACATTTCTGCTTTCTTTGAATATTCAATATCTGTTCTTCATATACACTTATTGGGGGCCTACTATGTGCTAAGAAGTACCACCCTGGGTGCTGGGGGCTATAAGGAAAAACAGTATCAGCCTGAGCTCAGACCACAGCTCCTCTGTATCCCGCTTCAGATATGGCAGAAAAGATAAATCTCTCTATATTTTTAAAGCCTTAACAGAATTGGAAAATATTGTGAGGTAGCCACGACCAACCAGAAATTAAAAGAAATATCCAAAAAAATAAAAGTCAAACCTAACTAAGTTGAAAGAGGTAACAACAGCATAGAACTCTCACAGAGCAGAACTGTTGCAAAAGGTGGATTCAGCTTTGCAGTGTGTGTGAGCAGAGCTTTTAGCCAACCTCCCAGGGCTGGGGAGACAAATGTTGAGTTCAAGGCTGCCGAAGCAGCCAGAACATAAGGGACCAAGATTTGAAAAAAAAAGGATAGAGAGACAATTAAGTCCAATTTCTGTACCAAATATCAGGAGTAATTAGGCACCAACTTTAAAATAAATTTTAAAAAATCAAATGGAAATTCCAGATCTGAGAAATCCAAGAATTGAACTTTAAGAACTCGATGTAGGGGAGGGACACCTGGGTGGCTCAGCTGGTTAAGCATCCAACTCTTGATTTCGGCTCAGGTCATGATCTCAGAGCTCAGGTCATGATCTCAGGGTCGTGAGACTGAGCCCCCCATTGGGATTCTCCCTCTCCCTCTGCCCCTCCCCACTTAAAAAAAAAAAGAACTCAATAGATTAAGTCGCATTTGACTGGCTTACCAGATTTGACACAGATAGAGGGTCATGAATTGAAAAAAGGGTGAATAGAAAATATCCAACTGAAGCATAGAAAGAAAATACAGAAAAGAGCATGAGAAGTCGACTATGGAATATGGTAGAAAGAAAGAAAGAAAAGGAGTCTAACCTGCATGTAATTTGAAGCCCAGAAAGAGAGGAGGAATAGACTGAAGCAAAGGAAGTATGTGAAAAGACAATGGCCATGGATTTTCCAAAATTAAAAAGAGATATCACATCACGGATTCTAGGAACATTATGAACACCAAGTAGGACAAATACTAATAAAACCACAACTCAGCATATCTTACTCAAATTGCTGGAAGATGAAGACCTAGAGAAAATCTCAGAAAGCACTGCTGGTGGGGGTGAGAACACATCTCCTTTACAAAAAGAGCTAAAAGAGTCAAAGCCAACCCCTCAACTGAAATGATGGAAGACACAAAACAATGAAAATGGAACATCTTTTATTTATTTATTTTTTAAAAGATTTTATTTATTTGAGAGAGAGAGAGAGCACAAGCAGAGGGATCGGCAGTCAGAGGGAGAAGGAGAAGCAGACTCCCCGCTGAGCAGCGAGCCTGATGTGGGGCTCGATCCCAGGACCCCGGGATCATGACCTGAGACGAAGGCAGACGCTTAACCGACTGAGCCACCCAGGCGCCCTAGAATGACATCTTTTAAAAAGGCCTGAAATAACTGCAAATCTAAAATTCTATACCCAGTGAAAATATCCTTTAAAAGCAAAGGGGAAATAAAGGCATTTTCATACAGGAAATGTGCAGAAAGTTTTTTTTTTTTCAAAGATTTTATTTATTTGAGAGAGAGAGAATGAGAGATAGCACGAGAGGGAAGAGGGTCAGAGGGAGAAGCAGACTCCCTGCTGAGCAGGGAGCCCGATGTGGGACTCGATCCCGGGACTCCAGGATCATGACCTGAGCCGAAGGCAGTTGCTTAACCAACTGAGCCACCCAGGCGCCCATGTGCCGAAAGTTAACAGAGCAAGCCCAAGACTGCCCTCCTTAGAAGGGCCTGCTTACAAGGTTGGTCCTTGGTGGGTGTCCTGGAACCTGGGTTTCAGGAGGGTTCCCACTATTCTCAGAATGGATACAAGTACCTCATTGTGCTTAAACAGTTTGCACAATGTGGTTTATGTTGAATACTTGCTTTTCTTCTGGGAGCCTGGACTCTTGGTATATGTTAGGTAGAGTGCCTATGTAACTAGCTCTCAATAAGACCTTGGGTACTGAGTCTCTAATGAGCTTCCCTGGTACACTAATATTTCACACATGTTGTCATAATGCATTATTGGAGAAATTCAGTGCATCCTGTGTGACTCCACTGGGACAGGACTCTTGGAAGCTTGTGTCCAGCTTTCTGCAAACTTCATCCCACATACCCTTTCCCTTTGCTGATTTTACTCGGTATCCTTTTATTGTATTAAAATTTAAACATAAGAATGACTGTATGCTGAGTCCTTCGAGTTCTCTTAGTGAATCATCAAACCCGGGGTTGGTCTTGGGGACCCCTGTACAGACAGAAATGGAGAATTTATCACCAGAAGACACAGAGTAAGGAAATCTTGAAGGGAGAATGAAAATGATCCCAGGAAGAAATAAGGAAATGCAGGACACAAAGTAAAAAGTAGGAAGGCAAAAGTAAACACAAATATATCAATAATTACATTAAATGTAAACAAATTAAATACACCAATTGGAAAATTGTCTAGCCGAATAAAAACAAAACCCAACTATATGCTGCTTAAAAGAGATATATCTTAAATATAAAGAAAGAGAAAGGTTGAAAAATGCCATGCAAATAGTAGTCAAAAGAAAGGAGCATACTAGAGATAAAGGGGACATCTGACAATAACAAAGGGTCATCATAGCCACAAGAAAAAGATAGGTATGTCTAAACTGACAGAAGTAAAAGGAGAAACAGACGAATCTATAATCATAGCAGGAGACTTTGGCATATCTCTTTAGATAAATAATAGCCAAAAAAACCAGTAAAAATATAGAAGACCTCAACGAAACAAATAGCAAACTTGACCTAACTTACATTATTTAAAACACACAATGACTTCATAACACACATCTGTTCAAGCGCATATAGAATGGCTAAATGGATTTTATGCTGCAGTATAAAACAAGCCTTAACTTTTTTTTTTTTGAGACACAGATATACAGAGAGAGAGAGAGCATGAGCAGGGAGAGAGGCAGAGGGAGAGGGAGAAGCAGGCTGAGCCAGGAGCCCAATGTGGGGCTCGATCCCAGGACCCTGGGATCATGACCTGAGCCGAAGGCAGACGCTTAACCATCTGAGCCACCCAGGCGCCCCACAAGCCTTAACTTTCAAATGACTGAAATCTTTCAGACTACATTCTCTGGCCATAGTGTAATGAATTAAACTAGAAATCAAAAATAAAAAAGAAGAAGAGTGAAATCCCAACATGTTTGGAATTAAGCACTGGTCTTCTAAATAATGAGTCAAAGAAGAAATCACAATGGAAATTAGAAATTATTTTGAACTCACAGATATGAAAATAAAACACAACAAATCAAAACTTGTGGAATGCAGTTAAAGCTGTGCTCAGAGGAAATGTACAACTAAAAAATGCATAAAGGAAGGCTGAAAAATCAGTGACCCGGGGGCCCATCTCAAAATGCATGGGCAGGATTGTGAGGGGTGGGAAACAATACAAAATTAAACCCAAAGAAAGTAGCAGGAAAGAACTAATTATAAGAACTTAATGGACTTAGAAAACAAAGGTACAAAGAAGAAAACTGACAGAGTTTTAAGTTAGTTCTTTTAAAAGGCTAATAAAACAGATGAACATATAGGAGGGGGAAAAAAGAGAGAGAGAGAAGGAAACAAACCAAAATAGATTCTTAATGACAGAGAACAAACTGAGGGTTGAGGGAGGGAGGGAGGTGGGGGGTGGGCTAGATGGGGGATGGGCATTAAGAAGGGCACTTGTGATGAGCACCGGGTACTGTATGTAAGGGATGAATCACTGAATTCTACTCCTGAAACTCATATTGCACTGTGTGTTAACTAACTAGAATTTAAATAAAATTTTGAAGAGAAAAGTAAAAGATTAATGCAATTGATAAACTCCTAGCAACACTAATGAAAGGAGCATAATTTCTCCATATCAAGAATAAAAACCAAGACACCAATATAATCCTACAGATGTCAGAAAGATAGTAAAAGGGTATTTTGAACATTATACCGTTACATTTGGAAATTTATATGAAATCGTCAAATTCCTAGGGGAGAAAACAATGTACCAAGAGAAACACAGGAAGAAAAAGAAAATCTGAATAGTCCTACATCTACGAATGAAATTAAATATGTCATTAAAAACCTTCCTACACAAATCTCCCACACAGAAGAATTCCAAATAATGTATGTAGACATTCTGTCCTCAAAGAAATAGAGCATAACTCCCCATTCCTTATGTGAGGTGTGCATAATGACTCCCTCCCGAAGAGAACAGTATGGAAAGGTGGAAAAAAGTAACTTTTTTTTTTTTTTTGTGAGAGGGAGAGAGCAGGGGAGAAAGAGAGAGAGGTGGGGAGGGGCAGAGGGAGAGGGAGAGAATCCTAAGCAGGCTCCACTCCAAGCACAGAGCCCAACTCTGGGCTCAATCCCATGACCCTGAGATCATGATCTGAGCCGAAATCAAGAGTTGGATGCTTAACCAGCTGAGCCACCCAAGCGCCCTGGAAAAAAGTAACTTTATAGTGAAGAATCCTGACAAACACTACCTCAGCCAGGTGATCGAGGTTCCTATCAATGTGATAAGCCATGCCGACAGTATGCGTCCTTGATATGATGCCATAAAAATGGCACTTTACCTCTGTGATCTTCCTCAAAACAGGTTTTGACAGGTCACTACAGTCTAACCATGCCGGAAACATCAGACAATTCCAATTGAGGAACATTCCACAAATTATCTGACTAGCACTCCACAAAACTGTCATGGTCATTAAAAACAAGGAAAATCTGATAAACTGTCACAGCCAAGAGCAGCCTAAGGAGATGGGATACTAAATGCAATGGGGTGGCCTGGATGGAATCCCGGAACACAAAAAGGACATTTGGTAAAATGAAGGCAATATGAATAACGTACGGGCAGCGCATCTCTGTTCAGCAGTGTGTACGAGAACAAAATCCTTATCTACTATAATGCAAAGCCTAGAAATAATGTCTTAATTTTTTAAGGCAAAAAAACAAGCTTAAGACTATTATTTAGAAACACGGAGGCGAATGCTAAAGAAACTATTTAAAAAGTCGACAGACCGGGTGGAGCAAGGAAAAGTGGGGGAAAGCAAGGCAGGGCCCACTATTTTTTGTTATACATTTGTTGGTACCATTTGACCTTTAAAACTTTGTATATGCAGGGGCGCCTGGGTGGCTCAGTCGTTAAGCGTGTGCCTTAGGCTCAGGTCATGATCCCAGGGTCCTGGGATCGAGCCCCGCATCGGGCTCCCTGCTCAGCGGGAAGCCTTTCTCCCTCTCCCACTACCCCTGCTTGTGTTCCCTCTCTCGCTGTGTCTCTCTCTGTCAAATAAATAAAATCTTAAAAAAAAAAACTTTGTATATGCATTACTTTGATAAAAACTAAAACACGCCAAACTAACACACCCTTCCAAACAAAATGTAGGTTAAAGAGGAGGTAAAATAACCATGAGGAGCCCGTTCCTGGAACCGACTTGCATGCGAAGTCCTACAGTTCCAGGCTCCAATCCCAAGCTCACCATTTGCAGTGGGATCCTGGGCAAGGTACACAACCTTTCTGGGCTTCAGATTCCTAGTGTGTAACCCTATCTAACTATAGGGTCGTTGAAGGATTAAGGGGGTAACAGATGGGAAAATCCCTCCCCCACCCCATCCACGCCGGCACTAAAGCCCTCGGTAAACAGTTGCTGATACCGTCATCTTTGCGCAGGAATGAATCTAGCAATTTGCGGTTCCCAGACGTATCAGAAGCCAAACAGGACCAGAACCCCGATCCTGAAGCGGTCAGTAGTAGCCAATCCTTAAGCCTTCGACACAGGACGGGGCGGGTGGGGGCACTGTTCAATTTGAACAGCTTCAAAAATTAAATGAGACCACCTAGCATACATTTGGTTTCACACAGAAGGCGAAAGCTCAGAAACCACTTCAGCGCCCTGAGACCGGCCAATAGAACTCGTGTGTGCGTACAGCCCAGGTTCCCCCTAAAACGACAAATCCCAAGGGGCAGTGTGCTTGGGGCGCGGCCGCGAGGCCCAACGGGAATTGTAGTCTTTTCAGGAGGAACTCGCGCCTAAAGGATTACCTGAGGGATCGCGTGGTCAGTCTCGGCCCCTCCGCTCCGCTCCAGGAAGAAAGCGCCAAGGCGAGGCATGGGGGACTCTGTGCGCACCGGGAGCTTCTCGTGGGACATCAGGATGTCGTCCAAGGACAGAAAGTTTTCCTCAGGCCCCAGCGCACCCGACTCCACCCGGAAATAAGCCTCGGACATGGCAGCGGCGGCGCTTGAACTTCTCCGCTTCCACTAGTGGGATGCCGGGAGTCCGGGATGTAAAAGCCTGAAAAAGCGGACGCAGGTCAGGATTGTGAAAGGTGTGGAGGTCGCTGCTGCCGCCCGGCTGGATTGAAATTTTTCCCGCTCCGGGGACGGACCAGACTGGAGCATTGCCCAGGCAGAAGCAATCGACAACCTGCGGCCTTGGTCCCACGTGATCAGGGGCGGGGCGCCGTACCCCCTCCCCCCCCCCCCCCCCCCCCGGGAAGATTTCTTCCGCGCAGTGTGAGCTCAGTGTGGGAGCGTTAAAAAGGAGCTGGAAGTGCCCGTTGACGTTGCTGGGTGCATTTGTACTAGATTGTTTATGTGGTCGTTTAAATGTTTACATGTAGTTAAAAACACTTTGCAACACATTTGGAGTCTTATAAAAGGGCATCATTGTGGCCTCCGTCTAAGGCTTGATCAAGTCACACCTATTTTCTACAAAACAGAACAAAACCTCCAGCACTAGCCCCAGAGAGTTATGGACTATTTGTAGTATTTTGGCATGGGAAAGGGATGGAGTAGGAGGAGAGAGGGGGAAAGCACTAGGCTATGTCTGGCTCACAAAGGTCCTGAGTTTACTTCAGAGCCTCCCAGTTCACTTTACCATCCGCTGGAAATCTCCTTTCGTGGCTCTTAATTTGAACCTTAAAAGAGGAAATCTGATTGGCCCAGTTTGTCTTTTTGAAGAAGGTCGTAACAGTCATATGTTGCCTGCCACCCTATAGATTGGAGGGGTGCCTGTGTCAGGTGCAATCGCTTGTCTATTTGGGGGAAAGTGGTAGGGAAGGGATCATGGTTATGTGAAAATTAATAAAGATAAACCTCATTAAGATGGAGTCGGGAGATTCAGCAGGGGGAGCTCTCATGCCCTACCACTCTTTGCCAATACAAATCCAACAGGGAGAGAAGGACTTTGCACATGGATACAATTTTACTACCTTAGCAAGAGGAAGAAAGGTTTTCTTTCCTCCAAAGGCCCAGCCAATGAGAAACAGCCACAACTCAGCCAATGAGAAGCCACTGTACTTTGAACTCCTGTTTTACTCCAATGGACTTCTTGTTTATAACAGCTTCCCCAAGTGCCCCTCTCCTCCATAAATGAGCCAAGTCTCATGCGTTCTCTGGTCTTGTCTTTGGTTTTGCCATAGGTTGCTTGCACTGGATGGCCATTCTCTGCTATTTCCAAATAAACCTATATTTGCTGGTAAAATAACTGGCAGTTTTATGTTTACAGTTACATGCTACCAGACTTGGGGGTGCTATTCAGTCACAGGTGTGGGCAGTGGCAGTGTTGAGAGATGTGCTGTAGAACTTCATACAGAAGGGCATTTTCTGGGGTTCGTAGAGCTATGAGCAAAGGGTTCATGGGAAGGGAGATGTGTATTAATCATGCTTCTCATTCCCTGCTTTTTAAGATGTTGTGACATCTTGGGGCTTTAGCCCCCGCTCCCCCCCCCCCCCGCCCCACAGGAGCTGTCCCTCTTTGGGTGAGCTAATTCCTAGAGTAACAAACAACTTGTCTGTGAACACACTTTCCATTAACCAAACAGTTAACACCTTATATCCCCAACCACTTCCTTTAACTCTCAGGTCCCCTGCCCTAAATCACCCCAGGGCTGAATACTGGACAGTGAAAACACCTTTTATAGCCCAGAGTCCACTGACATTAATCAAAGTATCCCATCCTAAGCTCGCTTAAATTTGCCTATTCCGTCTCACCCATTTCTTCCCACAGAAACCAAAATAGAGGCTCTGGGTCATGCTCTCTGCTCACTCCTTTTGCTTCTTTCCTGACCCTGGTACTTCCCTATGTGGCTTTGAATGGCACAATGTGCCCCCTTCTCTTGGGAAAGGTGAGCAGTAAAACTTATTTCAATGGCACTGACCACTCTGTCATTACTCAGTCACCCTTATGAATTAAATCCCAGTGTAATCGAGACAAGAGGCGGTGGGGGAATCAAGGCCAAATTGTGGAAAGACTTGGGAGCTAAAGAGTTTAGGCTATTCCATAGGAAGTAGAAAACAGTGAGATTTTTGAGCAAGTAAAAACATAAACTGAGCTTTAAGAAGAGAATTCCCACAGCGGGGTGAAGAAGGGAGAGATTCAATACAGGGACGTCAGTTTGGAAGTTCAAGGGGCAATACCTGGCAACTAATTGGATATAGGAAGTGAAGGGCAGAGAGGGGTCAAAGGTAATTCGAGTTTTTAACCTGGTTGACCAAGTGGATGGAGATGTCACTAACAGATATACAGAGCACAGGAATATGGGCAATTTGGGGTAACAGATGAGTTTGGTGTGGCACTTATGATGGAGTCTAGGAGCCTCTAGACAGGTAGGTCTGCAGCTCTGCAGAGAAACCACCTTGAACCTTCAGTTAGGTTCTATTTAGAGGTAGTTACAGGAGAGCCTTTAACTTTATCATATTTTAAATGTTCAGTTTGCTATACTATCCGATGTAAAAGTAAACATAATTCATAGTCAATATTTATAATTTCATGAAATGACTATAGGGTCGGTACAATGAATATATTAATTTGTCTAACTGAAGGCAATGCAGGTTATTTACTGACAAGGTCAGTAAGCTATTTTTGATGTTGAAACCATTAAGATGGATGATTAATGATTTATCAGTGCCAAGAAAGGCCTTATTTTTGTACAGAGACCATTGGCTCTAAACCAAAAAATACCACAGCTATTTTAATACTAAAGTAACAGGCCAGTGTTTAAGATAAAACCAGATTACCTTGTTTTTCTTCCGTGATGTCTTGGCTCACCATGAAACTCATTCACTGCTTGTGTATTTTTGCTCTGTTTAATCTATCCTCTTTTTGAACTACTGAGTAAGCCAGAAAAAGTGATATTAAAGTTTGAGCTTATGATGCTAAACAATTGCATTAATTCACTTGACACAAGTGGTACATAGTTTATCAAATATAGATCTGTTTATAGCCTGTATTTTAAGAGCCAGGAATGTTTCTTTTCTCTCCAAAAGCTTGTGTTCCTTACTACCCAGCCAATCAATCTGTGAACCAGAATTGCGCTAGACAGAATTTCAGCATATTTGTGATATTCAGAGTGTGTTCAGTGTATTTACCTTATACAGAATTTCAGTATTCCAAAGATGTCTGCTGGATCTCTGGAAAAAAAAAAAAAAACAACAACACTAACTTTCCCAGTGTCACCAAGATTGCAAAATCCTAGAACCGTCGGACACACACAGATTTTAGATCAGCAAAACCAAAAGCAGCTTTAAATTTTTTTTTTTTTTTATACTGGTTCTTTCTAAATTTCTTCCTCTGAGTGGGGAGGCTGTGACGCAAGTGACAGAAATCCAGATCCGGGGGATGGGGGAGGATCTATGGAGGGATTAAAAAAAAAGAAGAAATATATTGGACTCCATCCTTCCAGCTGCTTCCTAGGCCAAAAGTTCTAGGGTTTTTCTTGACTCATCTCCCCTTATACTCTATAACTGGTCCATCAGCAAATGTTGGCTTTGCCTTCATAATATTTCTAGAATCTGATTATTTCTCATCACTGTGGTCCACACCAACATCATCTCTTGCATGGATTTTTGCAACAATTTCCTGTCTAGTCTTGCCTCTGCCCATGACCTCCTTATGGTTGAAAGCTGCAGGCACACTGATTTCTCAGGGCTTGGCACTGTCTGTTTCCACCCCCTGGATTGCCTTTCTCTTGGATTTCCACGTGGGTGGTCCCTTTCAGGTCTTTGTATTCAAAAGTCACCTTCTCAGTGAGGTCTCCCTCACCACCTTATCCAAAATTTTAGCCCTCCCCGACTGACCCTCTCTCTCCCTCTTTTTTTTTTCCCTTTAAGACTATCACTCTCTTATGTTCTACATACTTTACTTTGTTAACTTGTTTCTTGTCCGTCACCCCTACTTGAACATTAGCTCCAGGAGGGCAGGGATTCCTGAGGTGTATTTTTAATTACTATATCCCTACTTCCTCATGCATATTACGCACTTCACAAGTATTTGTTGAATCAATTAGTGGTTCTTTATTTAGAGTGGTGATATTATTTTCCTTTAAAACATTAAGCAAAAAACAATGAATCAATTTTAAGTAAATAATAGTACATGTGGTATGCACATATTATGAAAGTCATAAAGGGTAGTAGTGAAACACGGAGAACACTGAATTAAAGTGGTAAAAAAAAATAGGGGCGCCTGGGTGGCTCAGTCAGTTAAGCTTCTGACTCTTGATTTTGGCTCAGGTCATGATCTCCCCAAATCAGTCTCCATGCTCAGCGGGGAGTCTGCTTGAGATTCTCTCCCGCTCCCTCTGCCCCTCTCCCCACTCATGCACACACACTTTCTCTCTAAAATAAATAATCTTTAAAAAAAAAAGTGGTAAAAATAGTTTGCCAAGGTACAGATCAGGTTGCATAATCTTCTAGATTCGTGAACTTAAGTTGTTGATAAATGCCTTGATGAAAACTCATTGGTTGAGCTCCCCTGATTTAAAGTTGTTGAAGTTTTGGTAGAACTATACTGAATTTTACCTTCACACCAACTGTAAATATGGAATGTGTAAGCAAAGGGAGCAAACAGGATTTAAAATGGCTTAGCCCTCTACCCATGGAACAATTCCAGCAGCCGTTTATACTTAACTGCTGTGTGACTTCTGGAATCCAACAGGCCTGGATAGAGTCCTACTTGCACCACTTCAGTTGGCTTTGTGACCTTGGAGGAGTTACCTATCTGAAGCTTAGTTTTTGTGCCTGCAAAATGGGGACAATAATGGCAGGAGTGGAATGAATGAGCCAATATACGCAGAGCACTTAGCTCAGGGCCTGGCCCATTCATAGCAAGGGCTCAGTAAATGTCCTTCTCACCATCATTATTCAGATATGTCTGTTCACTGCTGTGTCCTCCACACCTCAAATAACACCTGGCACATAGCACGTACTCTTAGGCTCAAGGCTATCAT